GAGATAATAAATCCCAGGAATATTCCCTCATACAGTAAATCTGATTTAAAAAATCAGTTCCTTTAATTTTAAACTTTGAGATGAAGCAGTTAATGTTTCATGTTGCCTACAATAGAAACAGGTCCTCTTTTGAACCATGGTTTTTTCTATTTGGCTTTCGTATCTAAACCTTTGGTTTTGTGTTAAAATTACACAAAGAGCCTGGCCAAAGTGACTCAGTGGTTGAGCATCAACCTTGGTCAGGGCACATGCTCGGGTTACAGGCTTAACACCCAGTGGGGGGAATGCAAGAGGCAGCTGATCATGTTTCTCTTTCATTGATGTTTCTCTGTTTCTATTCTTTCTCTCTCTCTAAAAATCAATAAAAACAATAAAAATAATAAAATAAAACCAATAAAGATAAAAAAGCAAACCCACTGCAGAACCATACATATTTTCTGATATGATGCAATATAAAATAACACAACTTATAAAGTATTCTTACAAAACTTCAAATACATGTATTAATTTACCATCCTATTTTTATGTTTGAGGAATTTCTAGATTAGGAAAACGTAAAAAGAGAGAGAGAGAGAGAATATTCAGCTTGGTGGCTGAGAGTATTTGTGGTATTAGGAAGTGAAACAACAAACATCAGTATAAATTAATGATGACTGTTTTAGGCTATATTTAGTACCAAAACTAATATGTAATTTGCCTGCTTGCTTCAGGATGAGATAATCTTATGTGCTATATATATATTAGCACCTGAACTGGTTTACTGTGCTTTATGTTGATGACAGGACATAAGAGGGGGAAAAAGGTATAAGTACAGGGGAAAAGTCAAGTCTCAAAATCTTTTAATGAGGCCAGAAGTAGTAAGGTCAGAAAGCTTTCTATAGCTAGTGATCTGGATTTATTTGAATAAATCATCATAAAAGTTTAACTTCTTAAAACCACCTATAAGACAGAGAGACATTTAGCGTTAAATATTTAAAATGTATTTTTTATTTAATTACCTGTTTTGATTGCCTTTCTAAGACTTCAGCTTTTAACCATGTTTCAACTTCTTCAATTTTCTTTTTGTGCACAGCAAGTTCATGCTAAAAATGTCAAGTTTAAAATAAAACATTTTAACTCAAGGATTTTTGGTACATCAGCACAGATTAATCTAAACATTTTAAAAGTAGCACACAACTAACATGACATAGTAATAAAAAAAATAGGGAAGTGTATTACATTTAGCATAACAAAACAACAACAACAAAAAACAGATAAATTCTATGTTGGGGTTAAATTTAATCTAAGACAAATAACCAATGGTACAACTTCAGAAAAACTTGGCAAAAAGCTGAACCTTGGGATATCTAAAAAACCTGGAAATCATTGTTTTTTTCTAATTCATTTAGAAAGACTTTATGAGTAATAATCTGAAAATGCACATCCCTTTCCTTCCTGGAATAAAATTATGTTTGCATGATATTTAGTACCTGAGTTTCTGGTTTGTATTTATCCACCCATGGTTCATTTTCAGACAGACTTTCTTTTGAATTTTCTAGGCCATATATCTGTTCTGAGGAAGACTGCGTTCCTCTTTTTCTAGTTGGAAATTTGCTGCTTTCTAATGTGGAAGGCACGTTTTTTCTTCTATGACTTGAGTTATTCACATTTAATATGGCAGTATTAGAGATGCTTCTATTCTCTGAAAAATCATCAAATGATGGATCTACCCAATCTGTTACCTGAAAAGAAATCATATAAATACTATTATATTTTTTGTATCTATTCCCTATAATTGAACTACTCTGTAAAAAAAAAATTTGTATATTCGTAACATATTTTAAAAAGCTCACAAATTAGCCATTTAAATAAAACTGATTCCATAAATATTTGTTATTTTTGTACTTTACTATAAGTGCAAATGCATAACTTGTCTACTTGACCATGGTAATGATGAATACTATATAAAGGAATACAAATACAAATTTAATTATTTTTATTAATGTAATCTTCCCAGGATAAAGCGTAGGCTGATTCTTTTAAAACTAATTTGTAGGACTGAAACCTAAATATTTAAATTATCTATCAAAAAGAAGCAAAAACAAAACAGAGAAATAAAATTACTTGCCCTAGCTGGTTTTGCTTAGTGGATAGAGCATCAACCTGTGGACTGAAAGGTTCCAAGTTTGATTCCAGTCAAAGGCATATACCTTGGTTGTGGGCACATCCCCAGTAGGGGGTGTGCAGGAGGCAGCTAATCGATATTTCTAACTCTTTATCCCTCTCCCTTCCTCTCTGTAAAAAAATCAATAAAATATATATTTTTAAAAAAAGATAAATCAGGCCTGGCCTGTGTTGCTCAGTGGTTGAGCAGTGACCTATGAGCCAGGAGGTCACAGCTCAATTTCTGGGTCAGGACACTTGCCCTGGTTTCGGGCTGGATCCCCAACTGATGGCGTGCAGGAGGCAGCTGATCAAAGATTCTCATCATTGATGTTTCTCTCTCCCTTTCTGAAATGAATAAAAAAATATATTTTTTTAAAAGATAAATCAGACCAAACACTAGGAAAATGGCTATTTTGCATATGAGTATCATATTGTCTGACCTTAGTCTATTCTACCTCCTAACTTTGCTGAGAACTAGCTCACTGAACCATATGATTTCTAACACCAACTACAACTTACATAATTTTCTTCTGCTCTTTCATTCTAGAATGGTTAGCCTTTTCTTTATTACTATTATAGTATTATAATATTTTTCCTTCAAAATTAAGGTTGTACTTTCAGTGTCCAGTTGTTTCACAGCTTACAATTAGACTTTTTGGATCACTAATTACAACGGATACTGAGCACCATTACATTGACAGCAGTAATAAATCACTGAGAACACGTATAAAAAATGTAATTATATCCTGGCAATTATTAACCATTTCAGTGTATCATACCTGTGTGGAAGATACTTTTCGTCTAAGAAAAGTTTTTGACATTATAGACTTTGAGAGTTTCCATCCGTAGTGTACAGCCAGTAGTACACTGAAGTATAATTCACCTAGGAGGAAAAAAGAAATTTCTTAATTAAGACAAACAACTGTAAGAAAGGTAATATAGAAGATATAATCAACAGGATAATAAAGTTAAAGCTCAAGACCAGTGAAAGAGAACACAGTATAAACATAGGTGAAGCAAGTATCAAAATGCTAAAATAAAATTTAACTTTAATGACTATAACCTGAGCCAAATAATCTATTTATGGTGTTATACATGGAAAATACTTCATCCTAGCCAGGTAGCTCAGTTGTCACCATATGCTAAGGTTGTGGGTTCCATCCCCTTCAGGGCACAAACAAGAATCAACCAATGGACCTACTGGGGTGGCAGTGGTTGAGCTTTGACCTAAGCACCAGGAGGTCACTGTTGGATTCTCTATCAGGGCACATGTCCTGGTTTCCAGATGGATCCTCAGTAGGGGGTTTGCAGGAGGCAGCCAATCTATGATTCTTTTTCATCATTGATGTTTCTGTCTCTATCTCCCTCTCCCTTACTCTTTGAAATCAATAAAAGTATTTATTGAGAGAATCAATTAATGCACGCATAAGTGAAACAAGTGGATGTTTTTCTCCCTTCCTCTCTTTCTAAAAAAGAAAAAAAATCAATAAAAGTATTTCATATGAACTCAATAATTAAAAAAAAACAGGAAAATCATATATATGTGTACCTATTTTTTGTCATTAAGAAAAACTAGGCAATTTTATTTGTCCAGTTTTTATACAAAGTTTTTATACAGAAAATTAAAATTTCCCTCATTTTAGATTAGTTGCTTTTTACTACCAAAAATTTAAAAAAAAATCTCCTCCATTCAATACATTCAAACTTATCATTCACTTTAAAGACTTAAACCTAACTATAAATTTTTCCTGTAAATTGTATTATTTATTTGAACACATTAGGAAATTTTTTGGCAGCACAGTTTTCTGACTTTCAGAATTCTCCAATACTTGTACAAACTAGTAAATTCGCCAATTTTTAATTAGCCAGAAGGATAGTTTTTCTAAAGATCCATAAACTTATAAATTGGAAGGTATGTTGGACTCATAGCTTAAGACACAACGTGTGACTACTTCCCACACGTAAAAAAAACCACAAACCGTACACGTACACCCACAAATCATTCACGATCAGAGAGGTTTTTGCTATGGAGTTTCAAAGAGGTACATAGGTTGGGGGGGGGGGGGACACCTATTTGAGTAAATACAGTTGGCAGGTCGCCATAAAAGGCGCAGAGGGTAGCTACGGTCCCGGACGCCAGTTGTTTGGAAACAAGACTGACAATTACCTCCTTTCAGAAGCAGGTAACTGTCCCTGAGGACGCCACGTTCCTGCAATGAGACGTCAGAGGTAGAAGAGACCTTGGAGAATCTCTCTAGCAGACCCACCACCACCCTACCTACTGCTGCACGGGGGACAATGAGCTAGGACCGCTGTGCCACGGAACCGCCCCGGCTCCAGGCCGGCGGGCTGCACCCCCACCCCCCCTCCGTCTCCCCCTGGGACGGGCAGGTCCGGAAGAGAGGCGCTGAGGACCCGGGGAGGCGTGCAGGCAGAGATGGACTCGCGTCTCTTAGGACATTCACACACCACAGCCGCAGCCGCGGCGGCCTTACTTGCCGGGAGCTGCATGCCCTCGTGGGCGGAGAGGAGCGGAGGAGCTCAGGCTCTACTCCCGGTGGAAGGGCAGCCGCCCGGCACTACCAGGGCTCTGCGCCGAGCCCCTCCGAGGTCCCGCCTCCCGGGTCCTTCCACACCGCTCGGCGCTTCCGCGACGCAGCCCGAAGGGCGGGGGCCTCAGAGGAGGGCGAGACTTAGGCAACCAGAGCACTGCCTGTCTCCAATCACGGTCTCCCCGCCTATTTTCCTGCCTTGAACCCTGCGATGACAGCGTGTCATAAAGGGCCAAGGAACCAATAGTCGGTGATGGGACGGCGGAGATGGGTCGCCAGCGCCGCTAGGGTCTTGCGGACTCCGGGGCCACAGGCGCTTGCCGCCGCCCGCCCGCCCCTTCCGACTCCTCCCTGTTGTGCTTAGGGCCCTCGCGCCGAGGTTCCAGAGGCTTCGCGTCGAGGACCATGTTGCTTCCGAACATCCTGCTCACGGGTCAGGGCGCGCGCGGGGAGGGGCTGGTCGGCGGGGCAGGCGGCGCCGAGCGCCCGGGGCTCCGGGCGGCCGAACGGGGAGCAGCTCAGTGTTCCGATTCGAGGCTGGTCGGGGGCCGCCCGGCGTGGCCGTTGTCGGGCCCTCGCGACCTTTGCGGGGAGGAGGGGCCGGGGAACTTCACTCGTGGTGGCGCCAGGCTGCTCGGTGAGGTTGGAGAGAGGAAAACCAACCAGCTCCCCTTCCTGGCAAGCTGCCTGTTTTCCTGAATCTGGTATTGGTGTGTAGAATGGATGTTGGTATTTTGTTTTCCTGGGTTGGTTGCCTTTGGCTTGTAGCGAGATCCTGTCAGTCGCTCTGGTAGCGGTGGATGCCTAGTTCTTGGCCTTCCTGGGCGGCCTTTCCTTTTCCCTTTGTAGCGGAGAGGCAGCTTCCGGTAAGAGCTGGATGATGTTTGTGGCGCAGGGTGATTAATTTGCTATATCTATGGCTGCTGAGTTAACACCAACTCCCCCCATCCTCCTTTTTTTTTTATTTGAAGAAAAGGCATCTGAGCAGACATGGTCGTTTCTCGTAGGGGATGCAGTCAGGTTCCCGTAGGGTCCCTGCCGGGTCTTCGGATCCGTCCTCTCAGGGGCCTGTTGGATGTGAGGGGCACTGAAATGCCGAATGACTTCGGCTCAGTGTTTATTAAATTGGAGCCGTTACTTAGCACTATGGGGCATTCATGGGAAAGTCTATTGGTGTAGATAGCAAAATCGAGACGCTCTTTGCGGGAAGAAAGCCATAAAGGTTTTTACCTTTTAACAAAACCTTGTTGGCCACCCACAGTTTTGGTCTGTTTCTGAGGCCAAATGAATGGTTAACCTTTAAGATTCTGTAAGGAGAAAATTGTACACCTGACTTGTTTGGGTCAGTGATCTGGTCTTTAATATTAAGCCGTGTTGTCAAAAATCTGAATGTGAGCATCTTGTTGCAAACAGGGTGAGTCCAGGGTTCAAACGTGGTGTGTTATACGGTAGTGGACTTACGGTAAATGTTACTGTCTTGTATATAGGGACTTGATTTATCTGTTATCTTGGATTATGATTGTTATTTCAGTGGCATTAAACCTGAAGAGCTGGAAATTATGCCTTTGATTATTTACCTTGAATTGCAATAGGTATTAAACAAAATAATGATATTAAGTTGAGTTTTATTCTGGAAATTTACATGGTGGTGGCAGGCATTCTGTAAATTGGTATCAAAAGTTGACCAAACCCTGTTTCTGATAAAATCACATAAACCGGGTGAGGTTCTGTCATCAAACTGGCTTTGTGTATGTTACTCACATAGATGGCTAATTACGAAACTTTTCGTTCCAATTGTAAGAATATATTTTTTAATTAAGAGAGAAAAATACCGATTGTTGTTTCACTTACTTATGCATTCATTGGTTGATTCTTTATTTTTTTTTTATTGATTTTCCACATAGAGGAAGGGATAGGGATAGAGAGCTAGAAACATCGATGAGAGAGAAACATCGACCAGCCGCCTCCTGCACACCCCCTACTGGGGATGTGCCCGCAACCAATGTACATGCCCCTGACTGGAATCGAACCTGGGACCCCTCAGTCCGCAGACTGATGCCCTATCCACTGAGCCAAACCGGTTTCAGCATTGGTTGATTCTTGTATATGCCCTCACCGAAGATCGAACCCAAAACCTTGGCATATATGGAACAATGCTCTAACTAATTGAGCTACCTGGCCAGGGCCTCAGTTGTTAAGAATATTAAGAGGGGCTGATAAGTAGGTCAAGTCTAATAAGTAATTCATATACAACATTTTCTGTGGCTGTCTTAACAGGTACACCAGGGGTTGGAAAAACCACACTAGGCAAAGAACTTGCAGCAAGATCTGGAATGAAATACGTTAATGTGGGTGATTTAGCTCGAGAAGGTAAGGGACATTTTGATGTTAAATTTGTTTTTAAAAATAGAGAAATAATAGAGTATTAGTACTGTACTGTGAGAGCATTCAAAAAGCAGAGAAAGATAGCCATTAAGGAACTTATATACTTTTTAAAATTGAAATTAAGTGTCTAATGCTGTGTTTTGGTTATTCTGACTGTTACATTGCCTCCCCCACAGTTGCCTGGCAATTCTTATAGATAATAATAATTGAACGGTCATGAAAAGATTGGTTGGACTTGGGATAGGTAGAAACTGAATATGAGGAAGAATGTTTTTTATTTGTTTTTGTTTTTTATATATTTTTAAAATTGATTTCAGAGAGCAAGTGAGAGGGAGAGAGAGATAGAAATATCAATGATGAGAGAGAATCATTGATTAGCTGCCTCTTGCACACTCCTAACTAGGGAGCAAGCCCACAATCTGGGTGTGTGGCCTGACTGGGAATGGAACCATGATCTCCTGGTTCATAGGTTGATGCTCAACAACTGAGCCACACTGTCCGGGGCTGAGGGAGAATGTTTTGAGATGGGTGAACACATAAAGGTTAGGGTGGTGGGTGCTAAGCATATCTGTGGAGTCAGTGATTATATTGATCTCACTGAAAGAAAAGATTATTCCGAACTCAAGCCATAGGACATGACTGTCCTATGGTATTTTCTTATATTAACTTGATAGTTGCATGTCTGCATGAAACTGCACATACCCTAAAATGATACATGTTTTTATTTATTTTACCCAGTTTTCCCTCAATCTTTGTTACGTTGTTATTCTGTCTTTAACTTTTTATATTCTGTAATGATTTGTACAGGTAGAAACTCAAATTCAAGTAAAGGGAACTTTAAGTGTGCCTCATTGAAATTAAAAATATTTAATATTTCACATATATCTTTAAAATATAAATATATTTTTAAACATATGACATTTTAAATTTTTTAAGTTCCTGACAGTTGCTACGTAAAGTAACTATTTCAGGTTTGATCTAATGTACATATTTTTTTCAAATGATCTAAAGTCTGATCACCGGATATCATGGAGTCTGGCAAGATGGCTTCTCCCAAGAGCATGCCGAAAGATGCACAGATGATGGCACAAATCCTGAAGGATATGGGGATTACAGAATATGAGCCAAGAGTTATAAATCAGATGTTGGAGTTTGCCTTCCGATATGTGACCACAATTCTAGATGATGCAAAAATTTATTCAAGCCATGCTAAGAAAGCTACTGTTGATGCAGATGATGTGCGATTGGCAATCCAGTGTCGTGCTGACCAGTCTTTTACCTCTCCTCCCCCAAGAGATTTTTTATTAGATATTGCAAGGCAAAGAAATCAAACCCCATTGCCATTGATCAAGCCATATTCAGGTCCTAGATTGCCACCTGATAGATATTGCTTGACTGCTCCAAACTATAGACTTAAATCTTTACAAAAAAAGGCATCTACTTCTGCAGGAAGAATAACAGTTCCACGGTTAAGTGTTGGTTCAGTTACTAGTAGACCAAGTACTCCCACACTTGGCACACCAACCCCACAAACCATGTCAGTGTCAACTAAAGTAGGGACTCCAATGTCCCTCTCAGGGCAAAGGTTCACAGTGCAGATGCCCACTTCACAGTCCCCAGCTGTAAAGGCATCAATTCCTGCAACATCAGCTGTTCAGAATGTTCTGATTAATCCATCATTAATTGGGTCCAAAAATATTCTTATTACAACTAACATGGTGTCATCACAAAATGCAGCCAATGAATCAACAAATGCATTGAAAAGAAAACGTGAAGATGATGATGATGACGATGACGATGATGATGACTATGATAATTTGTAATTTAGCCTTGATGCATGTAACATGTATACTTGGTTTTGAATCCATTGTTCTGAGATTAAACATGCATGCCAGATGTTTTCAAGTTGTGTTTTAGAAAACTTAGTATTTAATGAGAAAATATAGTTACAGTTTTTAATTGAGATGTTGTATTTTCTTTACTAGAAATCGTAATGGTTTTTCATCAGCCTTTAAGAAATAAAGTTGTCATTCATTAATTTGGTTGTTGGTACTTTGAAAGTTACTTTTTTAGAAACAATTTTATTCCTCATTATCACCGACAGGAATAATAGCTCTAACTTCAATTGTTGCAGTCTGTTGCCATTAGAATGTGATCTCTAGTGTCTTCAGATGTTTAAATCGTAGTATGATCTCGTGTATAAGTCATTTTTATGGGCCATTCTCTCAAATTACTGAAGTATGGCCATGTTTCCTTTTTGGAGAGAACACTTGGTCAGGATTTTTATTCATAGTGAATCCTCATCTGTTTGGAGTTATTTCCCTCAATTGCTCAAATTCTTCCTGGTCCTATTTTTCTATCCCTTTCATTACATTTAAGGACCCTGGTGTGTCTCCCAGTATCTCTCCAGTTGATTTTTTTCCATTATCCCTTTTGCAGGTCAGTTCATTCTTGCTTACCATAGTCTTGATATGTTATTATCATGCTCATATATTTATTTTAATCCTCACCCAAGGACATGCTTTTATTGATTTTAAAGGGAGAGAGAAACATCAATGTGAGAAGGAAACACTGATCAGCTGCTTCTCACATGTCCCCCGACCCGGGATCAAACCTGCAACCTGGATATGTGCCCTGACTGGGAATTGTATCCAAAGTCCTTTGGCATACAGACCAATGCTCCAAACAACTAAGCCTCACTGGCCAGGACTACCATGCTCATATATAAGAGGCCCAGTGCATGAAAACTGTGCAGGGGTAGGGTTCCTAGAGCTGGCGGTTGCCAGCTGAGTACTCCCTCCACTCTGGTTGAATTCCCAGAAGAACTGGTGGAGGGGACAATTTGCATACTATGCTTTTATTATATAGGATATTTTAAAAAAACAAACATTTTTATTGATTTCAGAGAGAAAGGAAGAGGGAGATAGAAATATCAATGATGAGAAAGAATCATTGGTTGGCTGCCTCCTGCATGCCATCTACAGGGGATCAAACCCACTACCCAGGCATATGACCTTAACCAGGATCGAATCCAGGACCCTTGAGTCTGCAGGCTGACACACTATCCACTGAGCCAAACCACCGGCTAGGGCTATGCTCATATTTTCAATCCAGGTCTGGCATTTTATTGAATAGTAAAACATTGGTCATTATTTTGCTGTTGTATCTAGCTTTAAGTTTCCATTTTATACCTATTTGAAATCTTGTTTCTTTGCCTGTTGAACTTTACAATTTTTGACAAGTGATTTTAGAGTCATACTGTAGTCATTTTAAGTCATCCAGTTTGATCTCACCTCAATTTAACATTTCTAAACAATGAAGTTACTGTATAACTGATCATGAATGGCATTGCAACAAACAGTAACAGTGGATCACTGGATCCTCCTACTTGTTTCACATTATTTTTGCAAGTTGTGTACCCATCTAATAGTGTATAGCGGATAGGGAATCTTTCTGCCAACGGCCATTTAGATATTTACAACATAATCTGCAGGCTATTATCAACTTAAATATAAGCCTGCTAGCCAATCAGTGATTCTCATCACTGATGTTTCTATTTCTCCCTTTCCCTTCCTCTCTGAAATCAATAAAAAATACATTTAAAAAAATAACTTTTCGTTAACTCATCCTTAATGCCTTGGCAGGGCCAGATCAAATGATGTCTTGGGCCCTAAATGTTCCCCACCCCATATAGTCTCAACCATTCTCTTAGTATTTTTATTGATGAGATAGAATTTAAGCTTAAAGGAAAAGTGTTTTCCTCCTCATAGTGCCAAGGAAAAGGATTTCTCATCTGACTTGATAATGGTGTTGAATGAGGTGCTTTGTAAAGTTTCTCATAATTTACCAGATTTTTTTTCTCATGCCATTTGAATATATCTGAGAATCTTTTTAAAAATATTTTTATTGATTTTAGAGAGGGAGAAAGAAATATTGATGAAACATCAATCAGCTGCCTACTGGGGATTGGTACCACACCTCCAGGCATGTGTCCTGACCAGGAATTGAACCTCTTGTTGCATGGGATGATGCTCAATCCACTGATTCATACCAGCTGGACTGTATTTTATCCTATATAATAAAAGCATAATATGCTAAGTGTCTGGTTGGCCATTCAACCAATCAAAGCATAATATGCTAATGATATGCTAAGGCTGCTCAACAGCTCACTATGATGTCCACTGACCACACCAGGAGGCAGATGCTCTGACTGGTAGGTTAGCCTGCTGCTGGGGTCCAGCTGATTGGGACTGAACCAGACGTGCCCTGGAGCCCTCCTGTGGTGTCCCTCCCTGGCTGGCCAAACTGCACTTGTGGGTCCCTCAGCCTGGCCTGCCCCCTCTCACAATCCAGAACCCCTCTGAGGATGTTGGAGAGCTGGATTCGGCCTTAACCCACAGGCCAGGCCAAGGGACCCTCCACTGGTGCACAAATTCGTTCACCAGGCCTCTAGTTAGAAAATATTTTTAGATACCCAGCCTCATATTTTTCAAATGGTGATATGTTTTAAGGAAAACAACGCCATCTATAAAGCCATGTGGCTCTCAGCTGGGGGTGATTTTGCCCTTCAGGGAACTGGGGTTGAGGAAGTTGCTAGTTGACATCTAATGGGTACAGGGCAATGATTCTGCTAAACATTCCACAGTTCACATCTATAAAGAATTGCCAAGTTCAAAATGTCAGTAGTAGTTGAGGTTGAGAAGCTCTGCTATAAGACTAAAGAAAAAAAACTTGTTTTAAACAACTGTCTAAATGGGCATTTATTACCTTCCTAACAATCATATTGAATTGCTCTATTATAGTTGACCTTCAACTTGGGTGTGAATTGCACAGGTCCTCTTATATGCAACTTTTTCAACTGATGTGTGCAATTCCTCTGGTTGGGAATCCATTTATGTGGAGGGCTGGCTAGTTATACATGGGGTTTTTACTTTGTGAGAGGTTAATCCTCCTAATTCCTGCATTGTTCAAGGGTCAACTATAAGAGACCATCTTTATGCCACTTGGAATCCAGGCAGGAAAAATTAGTTGGGAAATTAAGGTTAATAAAACTATTGTGTGGCTAAGAATGCTTTTCTTATCCCTGTTCTTCTAGTCCCTCAGATTCCTCTTTGATATCTTTCCCATGTAACAATCACTTAATTACATTTACCAGCATCCTTAATTTTCTTGCCACCAGTTTATCAGTCTGAAACCTCTGTTCCTAACCCCAGGATGTCTGTAGGTCCAAAGTAATGTTATATTGACATTGGATTCATTTCAATTAGAAATTGTAAAGCATAGCTGGGCCCTCAACTCTTAGAATCTACTGATGGCAAACTGCTGCTGTTTTTATAGGAATCACTAGCTAAAGATAAGCTCACAAAGCCTACAGTATGTCTTGCCTTTTCTAGAAATTTGTCATCCTCCCTCTGAGCTCTTATGTGTTCTATCTTTTCTCTCTACTGGAAGCCTTTTAAAATAACTTCATTGGCCTTTCCAATACTGTTCTCTCAATTTTTGTGCCTGATTCTCTCCCTCCCACCATATATATATATATATATATATATATATATATATATATATATATATATATATATACACACACACACACACACACACACACACACACACACACCCCTCCCTGGGGATTTCACTGCAGCCATCTTTTTTTTTTTTTTTTTAATATATTTTATTGATTTTTCACAGAGAGGAAGAGAGAAGGATAGAGAATTAGAAACATCGATGGGAGAGAAACATCAATCAGCTGCCTCTTGCACACCCCCTACTGGGGATGTGCCCGCAGCTAAGGTACATGCCCTTGACCGGAATCGAACCTGGGACCTTTCAGTCCACAGGCCAACGCTCTATTCCAGCGTTTTTCAACCGCTGTGTGCCGTAGGTGCAGACAAGACAAGAATTTTATAATTTTTCACTATTTTGTTTACTTAATATTTCATAATAAAGTAATTATAAAATACTTTCTTTGTGTTTATTTGATTCCTATTCAAGAGAATTACTTTATATATAGTCAATATAGGCACAGAGTTAAATTTTTTAACATTTTCTAATGGTGGTGTGCCTCGTGATTTTTTTCATGAAACGAGTGCCTTTGCCCAAAAAAGGTTGGAAAACACTGCTCTATTCATTGAGCCAAACCGGTTTCGGCTCACTGCAGCCATCTTGTAATTCTGCCCCTCCCTCTAGTAATCTCACTAAGGAATAGTCATGCCCTTTTAATGACTTTTAAGTTTATAATTAACACTTAAATGGACCATCTGGATAGTTTCCAGACAACTCTTAAATTTATGTTTAAAAAGTACATGCAGGAGTTATCCCTGACTCTACTTGCTCACTCCTGATTCCTATCCCACTCACATGCACACACTGCAAGGATCCATTTAACCTTTAAATTTTGAGTTTGTTTGAAAAATCCCTGGTAGGTGTGGCTCGGGTTGAGAGTAGATCTAAGAACTAGGAGGTCATGTTCAATTCCCTGTCAGGGCCCATGCCCAGTGAGCTATATCCCTAGTGGTGGTGGGGGATGGGGAGTGCGTGCAGGAGACAGCAGATCAATGATTCTCCCTCTCTGAAATGAATTATATATAGCGGGTATTGGTGGGAGGGTGGGAAGAGATCAACCAAAGAACTATTATGCATAACCCATGGACACAGACAATAGGGGTAGGAGGGTGTGGGGCTGGCTAGAAGAGGTCATTGGGTGGGGGGGGTGGGGGGCACATATAATACTTTCAGTAAAAATTAAAATCTATATGTATATATATATATTATAATTTTCAGGTTACTTGTCATTTTATTATAAACTATGAGGGAAGGACTGTTAGTTTTTCTGGTTCGTTTTAGTCACTATTACATCCTCATTACCCCCAAGTCACTGGTACATGATGTTTGATAAATGGGTTTTGAAATGAATGCTTGAAGGCTTGTATGACACTATTCAAGTACAGGATATTAACATGATTTAACGAATCCTGCATTTCAGTATTGCAGTATAGACATTAATTCTAAAAGTTAATGTTGCAATAGTTGTCTATTTTAGACAGCATATATTTAAAAATATTTCACTAGTCTTTTAATAGTCAAGGATTTAATACTGACCAGTGGACTTGGTTGGAGCTTTGTACTTTTCCTCTCTAAAACAATCAAAACAAAACATTCCTCTGGTGAGGAAAAATAAAAATGATTTTAAGAGTCAAGGATTTAAAATATAAGGAACCTCAGCATACTCCAGACTCTCACACAGTAGAGAATCAGCTATAGCTAGCTATTCTTATATTTTGTGGCATGTAAAAAAAATACAGTATTATAAAAATACTAAGGAAAAACTCCCAATTCTACTAATTTATTTCCATCTTTTGTTTTTTTTCCCAATCTTGTCTCTGTTTGAAATAACCATGAATTCTGCTTTTTATGTTTTACCACTTATAAGCATTTATCATGTTGCTACTTAGTCTATATTACAGAGTACTTGTGACTGTCTTATACTTATTTCTTGAACTTTATTTAATTACATAAATTTTAATCAAGTTACTAGTAGTGTATCAAGATTTAACTATTGGAACTTTTTTGTTGGTGAACATTTTAAATCACTTTATTACCTACAATCTTTTTCTGATTAGAAATTAAATGGTAGAGGAAATCCAAATGGGTATATTTTTCTTTTTAAAGTTATTTAAAAAATACATTTCTAGAGTTGATTTACTACAAATGTGCATAAACAGTTAACAATAAGCATATAAAGGGTCATTTTAATTTATACCCCTTTAATAGCTGGGAAAGTCCAACATTCCCCCCCCCCCCCCACATGTATTTTGTACTCTCCCTCCTGTGTGAATTCTTACTCTTTGTTAAGCTACTATTTTTTATCTTGATTTTTAAGGTCTTTGTATAATCCATATTTCAGTACTTTATCCTACAAGATATTTCTCCCACTCATTTTTTGTTATATTTTTCATTGAACAGAGATTTAACTTTTTAAAAAATATATATCTTTATTGGTTTCAGAGAGGAAGGGAGAAGGAGAGAGAGATAGAAACATCATTTAACCCTTGACTTTTGGGGATATTGGAAAACTAGAAGTAAAGCTATTGTTGAGAAGTATCTGGATATTGACTCTCTTTTCCTAAACTATTATATGAAGGTGTGACCTCAGTGACAATAGGATTTATTTCTGAATTTGAGAACCTGTTGTTTTTTAAAAAAGGTTCATATCCTTGGCCAAATAAGTTTGGAACTTAATCTTGTGTTAATGTGTGTGAGATTGTTTGTATACCTGTGTCCCCTCTTCCTATCAATATGTAGGTCATCAAAATTAATGCTGTTCTCTTCTGATAGCCCTACAAATTCAGAAATAGCTATTATTAATTCTTTAGTTGGCATCTATTTTGATAACTAAAACAGTTTCAGGATTGTGGCCATGCAAGTTTCCCTCTAAACAAAATTCTAATTTATTAGTATTTTTCACAGTATCCATATGACACTTATTGTCTTAGTGCCCTTCATTGTCTCTAAAAGAGTGATGATATATTTCCCTTCCTAAAGTCTAGAATTAATTGAATATTACTGAAAGTTACTTAGAAAATACTGCTTGTTAAATGCAATGCAAATCTCTTTCAGGACAGTTATATGATGGCTATGATGAAGAATATGACTGTCCTATTTTAGATGAAGATAGAGTAAGTATGAATTTTAAAATAAATACACATTAAAAAATTTTTAATTGGGAAGTTGGCATACATTTTTTTAAGCAGCACTCACCTTTTTTCCTCCACCTTTCTTACAGGTAGTTGATGAGTTAGAAAACCAAATGAGTGAAGGTGGAGTTATTGTTGATTACCATGGTTGTGATTTCTTCCCTGAACGCTGGTTTCATATAGTTTTTGTGCTGAAAACAGATAACAGTATATTGTACAAAAGACTTGAAACAAGGTAAGAAAGGGTGTACATTGAATTCTAAAAGTATAATACAAACTTTTATTCAGATTCAGAAATTGGCCAATGTGACTATTTTATTTGGTCTCTATCAACATTTTGAATGTAAGAGAAAAAGATGCTTACAAAAGATACATACAAATGCTTGTATAACACAGGTGTTTGTGTAACTAAATGAATACCTCAACTGACAGTTTGATATACATGAAATGTACTATAGCAACTTTTTTAAAAATATATTTTATTGATTTTTGTACAGAGAGGAAGGAAGAGAGATAGAGAGTTAGAAACATCAATGAGAGAGAGTCATCGATCAGCTGCCTCTTGCACACCCCCTGCTGGGGATATGCCCGCAACCAAGGTACATGTCCTTGACCGGAATCGAACCTGGGACCCTTCAGTCCGCAGGGTGGTGCTCTATCCACTGAGCCAAACCAGCTAGAGCAATACAACCAATTTTCAAAAATGTTCATCAACCCCCTAAAAAAGACAGTCTTTTCATAAAATTAATCATCTTCCAAGTAGTTCCATTTAATTTTTATTGCTACAAGATTTAACTAATTCAAGTTTGAATTTTCTTTATAATTTTCACTAGCTAATTGATGGGCTAATTTATATACTGCCTAAAGATTACTTGTTTATTTTTTCTATGTCTTTGGAATTTGTAAAATAGAACTATATCTGTGATCAAGTATCCAAATTAGTAGACAGTATTTCAATCATATGCATTTTATTTTATTATATGCCATCTATTTATTTCATCTGTATCTTAACTCCTCTAGTAATTCTATTTAAAATCTAGGACCATATATGTAGACTTCTTATTTACCTCATAGCTCAGAATCTGGCTTGTGATAGATATTTTTGCTAACTGAGTGACTGACATAAAATCAGGAGGAAATAAATTTCAGACAAACCTAAACATTGGTTTTAGTTTAATGCTCTTGACAAAGAAGTCCCTCATTATAGATGCCAGGCTATTTTCTATAGGTAAGGAGACTACAAGAAGTATAATATTTTTGCATGATTTTTCATATATTCCAAAGTGTCCAGTTTCTGGTATGTTCCTAAAACACCAATTAATGCTATTTGTTTGCTTTTCTTCTCTCTGCTTTCTAGGGGTTATAATGAGAAGAAATTAAAAGATAATATTCAGTGTGAAATTTTTCAAATTCTTTATGAAGAAGCATTAGCATCTTACAGCGAAGACATAGTGCATCAACTGCCCAGCGATAAACCAGAAGATCTAGAGAATAATATCAATCAGATATTGAAATGGATTGAGCAATGGACCAAAGATCATAGCTCTTGACTTAAAAGACTGGCCACTTTATAATCACTCTTAATATTTCTCTGCCCACATCATGTAAATTATCCATTTATTAGGAAACCTTTTTATTAAAATTATGCTGCAGGATTAGTAGGTGGATAGTATAAAGGTTTATATTTGCATGTGTTTTTTTCCATAAGAAAGTATAATGAATATAACTCTTTTAAAGGTTGAGAATAAAAACTGTCATTGTTTAATTTTTCAATTGCTAAAGAATAAATAAACCTGACCAAATGTGTGGAAGAATATCGTTTAAGTTTATTAAAGAAGAAAATGAACATGATCTCGTAAAATAAAATTGAAGTCTAAAGATAAAGCACCAGAGCTTCCATTTTGTATTCCCTTTTAAGGAAAGGAGGGCTGGTAATACTTATTCTATATTTAGTGTTTCTCCACATTTTCCTTAACCAGCTGCTTTTCTTTTTCCTTCCTTTTAAAAAAAATATATTTTATTGATTTTTCACAGAGAGGAAGGGAGAGGAACAGAGAGCTAAAACATTGATGAGAGAGAAACATTGACCAACTGCCACCTGCACCGCCCCCCCCCCCAGGGGGGATGTGCCCGCAGCCAATGTACATGCCCTTGACCGGAATCAAACCTGGGACCCTTCAGTCCACAGACCAACACTCTATCCACTGAGCCAAACCTGTTTCGGCAACCAGCTGCTTTTCAAAAGCAAACATACCTAGATAGATGGAAAAGTAGACAGAACCGAGACTCTAAAAGCTTCCCCTGATAATAGGACAAGATCAGTGCAATGCGCTTATTAGATAGCATTGAACGGTCTAACGTTACCTTCACTGACGCACACACTTGGCCTTGGCGTGTTTTCCCCCAGCCCCGGGCTATTATGTAGACCTGGGTTGCCGGAGCGGGAAAGCGGGAAAGCTTTGCAGGTGGAGCAGGAAGCGGGGAAGCCGGGCTTTGCAGGCGGAGCCGCTGCCCGCGCCCTCGGCCCCGCAGGTGATGCCCGGGTGGCGCCTCCCGCGGTCACGTGGCCGGAGGGCGGCGCGCGACGCGGAGGCTCAGCGCCGGGTGAGCGCGGGGCGCGGGGGCGGCGGGGTCCCCATCGCCTGGCGGGGCCCGGGGTCCCACACCCCCCCCTCGCGGGCGGTGGGGCCCGGGCCGGGGCGGAGCCCGCAGGGGGGCACCGCGCGTGGGGGGCCCGGGCGGCGCGCAGCCGTGGGGACTCGGCGGCTGTGGACGAGCTGGCCGGCCGGCTCCCTCCCCGCCGAGGCTGGCTTCATGTAAGGTGACCAGATCGTCCCGCTTTTGGCGGGACAGCCCCGATTTTCAACAATGTTCCCCGCGGCGTTTAAAAAAGTCCCGATTTTTGGAAAGATTATTTCCAAAAATCGGAACTTGTTTTGTTTTTTTTTAAATAAATCTTTATTGTTCATATTATTACAAATCTGGACTCTTTTAAAACGCCGCGGGGGAAATTGTTTAAAAATCGGGTCTGTCCCGCCAAAAGCGGGAGGATCTGCCTGTCCGACGGTGAAAATATAAGGAATAGGATTGAAAGGCCGTTTCCGCCTCTCTCTCTCCCTTCCTTACTGTTTTCCTATTCACTTTGAGCCTTAGCGATGACCGCGCACTAAATGCTATGCTGTGTCCTGGATCGCATCCTGGAACAGAGAAAGGACATCAGGAGAAAAACTGGGGAGCTTCTGATAAAGTCTGTGGTTTAGTTCACGTTAACGTCTTAATGTTGATAAAAGTACCCTAATATTAACACTAGCGGAACCTAGGTAAAGGACATACCGTATTGTATTTGCAAGTCACTGTAAATCTAAAGTTGTCTTAACAGGAAAAGTTTCAGAACAAAAGCCTCCGGGGCTGTGCGACAGGCCACTGTGCAGGCAGGGATCCAGCTCACTGCTCTCTGCCAGGCCTGACAGGAATTGTTTGTTTGACCAACCTGTTTGCTGAGGCCAGAGCTGTTAGGCTACTGGGTGTGGATGCTCCCAGTCCAGTTTTCTAGGCAGGAATCTGTTTCCTGTTTTAAATCTGTCAGCTATCTTTGGGACACTTGTGATGCACAAGCAAACGAGACACAAATACTCCCTGCACTAGGGGTGTGTCCAGTAAAAACATTAGGTAAGGAGTAAGGACTGTTAAAAAAAAAAAAAATAGAAGTAAGGACTAGTAAAAACTTTAGTGCAGAGCTAGAAGGGCTAAGGTTGGAGCAATCACATGTGGCCAGGGTACTCTGGAGGCCTGGCTGACCTAAGGGGAGGAAAGCATCCCTGGGGTGGGAACTGAAGGTGGCCCTGCTGCCACTACTTGGGAGCAGATGTAAGTTCTCTCATGTGGGAGCAAAGGGCAAGCCCAGGGAGTACTCACAGTTGAAACAGGAAGTGAAAACAGGATTCTTAAAGCAAACAGGGCAATACTTTAAAAATAAATAAATAAATAAATAAATAAATAAATAAATAAATAAATAAAATATATATATTGATTTCAGAGAAGGGAAAAGGAGATAGAAACATCAATGACGAGAGAGAAGCATTGGTCAGCCGCCTCCTGAATGTTCTACATTAAGGATCAAGCCCACAACTCAGGCATATGCCCTGACAGGGAATCGAACTGTGACCTCAACCACTGAGCCACACTGGCTGGGCAGCAGAGCAACACTTTTATCATACAGGCCATGGGAGCCATCAGTGGACAGGCATCACTGGATCTGTGCTTGGCAACAGTGTGGAGGGTAGCTTGGAGTCGATCAGTTAGGGAATTATTGGTCTAGACCAGGAGAATAAGAAATTCAGCCAGGCCCATGAAGTTCAGGTGCAAAGGACAAGGCATTGGGAGATTGTGGATCTAGAGGACTTGACAACTGAAGGTACCAAAGAGAAGAAAAAAAATTCCGAAGTTTGGCCTTGGGTGTTTTAGAGCATGGTTGCAGCGTTTGCAGAAATAGAGGACGCAGGAGGAGACACAGCTGGAACTGGGGAGGGGAATGAATTTGTTTTTAAACAAGCTGTGTTTGAATGCTACCAGGATATCCTGCGGGAGATGTGTCTTTAAGAATGGAAGCCAAACATATACTGAAGGGACAGGAAGAGGAAAGGAGCCTGAGGGGGCAGATAAGAGAGAGTCAGTATTGGGGGTGGGGTAGGGGAAGGTTTCTTGGCTTTTCAAACCCCCTACCCCCCCAACGAGATTCCTGTGGGGCCAGGGGCCTGGGCGGTGAGTCAGTAGGCACATTTTCTGCAGAAGTGGAGGTGGCGGAGGGACGAGACTAGGTCTTAGATTTAGTGGCTAGGAAGTCACTGGTCTCTTTTCAGAGAGTTGTTTTCGTGCTCTGTCTGCAATCTGTTCATCCTGTGGCCTTTCCCGAGTGACCAGACCACAGAACAAGGAGCAGAGAGATGGTTCCTAAGTTCTGTATGGTGTGAGGCTAGGCGTCTGTGCCTAGACTGGCATAGTAAAATACCGCTCTTAATAAAACCAGAAGGGCTCTTTCATTCTCAGCAACACCTCACAGTTCATAGAACTAGGGTTCCAGGCGGCACTTTGGAAAATGCTGATACAGCCGAAACCGGTTTGGCTCAGTGGTAGAGCGTTGGTCTGCGGACTGAAAGGTCCCAGGTTCAATTCCGGTCAAGGGCATGTACATTGGTTGCGGGCACATCCCCGGTAGGGGGTGTGCAAGAGGCAGCTGATCAATGATTCTCTCTCATCGATATTTCTAATTCTCTATCCCTCTCTCCTCCTCTCTGTAAAAAATCAATAAAATATATATTAAAAAAAAAAGAAGAAAATGCTGATACAGAACTAGAATTTTAGGGCTCTAAAGAACAAAAAAATCTTGTCCAATTCCTCCATTTGACAAATGGAAAAACTAATACTCGAATTCTAATTCATTTAACATTGATTTCAAATAGTGGTGCCCAAATATAGGGTTTATAGAGCTAAGCATAACTCTCTAAAGTAGTTATGCTTAAACCCATTTTGGAAATTTGAAGATAGGCTCCAAGAAGTCACAGAATAGCAGCAGTGGAGTGAAATTGGAAGCCAGAACTCCCGAGGCCAGGTCTTCTCTGTTGCCCATCTACTGCCTCCCTGGCTGTCAACATTAAATGCATTTAAAACTAGTCAAATGGAATGTTAATAATATGTTCCAAAAGTCAAGTTTAATTTGATTGCATTCCACATTAATATTACTATTAGTGTATAAAAATTGGAAGGGTCCACAGCCAATAGTTCCTGAATTAAAAAACAGTAGGGCATTGGACCATGTGAAAGCTTACTATTATGTTAAACTCTTAATAGCAGGAAGATGTTCTCATGATCCTGAATATTTGGGGTACATTAAAAAATATTCTTAGCTAATCCTGTGGTTGCATATTCTTTCCTCTTATTGCATTTTTCCTTTGTGTTGACCAATTCCATTTTCTTCACTGCTGGCTGCCTAACCCTGACCACATCTTCCTTAGCAGAGATATGAGGTTATAAACAGGAATCTAGAAAACACAGCATCTTAGGTAACACATAACTTCCTATCTACCCTGACAAATTAAAATAGAACTTACTTATTTAGGAAGTAAACTTGTAAAGGAACCAAGATGATTTTATTAAAGTTTTTGGGGAAAAATGGATCTGCCAATGTTTCTCTCTCCTTTCTTTCTCTTCTCTCTCTCTCTCTCTCTCTCTCTCTCTCTCTCTCTCTCTCTCTCTCTCTCTCTCTCTCTCTTCTTCCTCTTCCCCTCTTTAAGCATGTCCTTAGGTGAGCATTAACACACACACACACACACACACACACACACACACACACACGAACAAAAAACCCAGCGACAGCAAAAAGAATAAAGCAAAGAAAGACTATGCCAATTGAAATCAACTTGCCTCTAGGGCAGAAAAACAAAACCATCACCTCGGCAAGGCTGCACACTCCATACCATGGGGCTAACTGCCTGCCCAGAAGAAAACATCTCCAGGTAGGAACGCCCCACAGGGAAATCATCCCTGAGCCTTCCCGGCCTGGAGACCATCGTGGGCACCGACCTGACCGTGGCCTGCCTGGTGGCTGGAGAGCACCTGAGATGCTCAGCCCAGAACAGAATGCAGCTAAGAGGGGCTTTCACCACCACAGGTTACCAAACAGCCACTTGGAAATATTTAGAAATATTTCATCCTTTTCACAAGACTCATTAAAAAAAAAAAACCAACCACCCACATCTGACATACTTTTCTAAATATCCTGCTGTTTAAGTTGTTGCTTACCAGGACTTTCAAAAATAAATCTCATATATGCAGTCTTTCAAAAATAGTTACATCTCATTTTTTACTGATCTCTCTCTCTCTTATTCTTC